AATCTTTGCCTCATGGAATACATATCCTAGGTAGGGAGTAAGGAGGATGATGAAGAAAGACAGAGAGAAAACAAGGATCACACTGTATTAATACATTGTATCTCATGTTTTGGGGAGGTGATAAGTAAAGACCAGAGCAGGGTAGGTAGGTTCAGGGTTGCTTGATGGACTGTCATTTTGAATTGGGTGGTCAGGGCAGGTTTCATTGGGGAGGTTAATTCTGAGCAAAGACTTGAAGAGGGTTGAGAGAGTGACCATGTGGATTAGAGGGAGCAGATTGTTTCAGGCAGAGGGAACAGTTGAAGCAAAGGCCTAAGCTGGGTGTGTAAGGAACAGTAAGGAGGCCATGGGTCTGGAGTGTAGTTAACAAGTGGCAGTAATATCAGAGAGGTAAGGGAGTGCCATGAACGCTTTTGCAAGGCTTTGTCTTTTTTCTCTGAATGAGGAAAGGAGCGATGATCTGATGTTGTATCAGGATCTGGCTGCCATATTGAAAATAGACTGTTAGGAGGTGGGGGCAGAGGCAGGAGGCCCAGTTACCTCAATCCAGGCAAGAGGTGATGTGACACATGCTATTAGTTTCTATTTATTTATGACACTGGTGGTATTCTATGAAGAATAAACATTATTTGACCATTGTGTGTTTTCTCTTTCTCTGACACACATTTCAAATAAGAAAATATATTAAGTGCTTTCAATCTTAGACTATGTTATCAATGGTATTTCAAATCTAAAAATCTAATGCCTTTACATTTCAATAGAATTGTAAGTTTTTCTCTGCTACTTTAAAATTTTTCTTACAAGGTTATGGGACATCTACCCAATGGAATTAGACAATGACTAGAATTAATAAGACTATGTGGCAACATAAAAAATCCTTAACATGGACTGTTCAGTGAAAAAAAAAAAGGCAAAGTTGTGTATTTGTATAGTATGACTAAAACTAAAACAGATCCACGACCTCCTAACTGGTCCAGCTCCCGCTTACTCTTGAACCTCATTTCCTGTAACTCTCCCCCTTGCTCAATTTTCTGTGACCATCCTGACCTGGCTGATGCTTAAAACCTCCCAATCCTGCTGTCATTTTCAGAGGCTTCACACAGGCTGTTCCCTCTGTCTGCAATGCTTTTCCTGCATAGGCCTCCAGGGCCTCCCTCACCTCCTCCAGGGAGGCCTTCCCTGGACTTCACAGTGAAATAGCAATGTCTCCACTTGGCACTTCCTATCTTCTTTTTTTGTTGTGTTCTCTCCACTGTACTTATCATCGCCCAACAGAGACTTCATTTTATTAGTGTATTTGTTTATTGTCTTTCTTCCTCCAACTGGGAAGTAAACTCCAAAATGTCAGGGGTTTGGTCTATTTTCTTCAGGCTTTCTTTTTTCCTCTTTTTTTTTTTTTTTTAACAGTACCTGACACATCATGCACACAAGAAATCTTGTTGAATGAAAGACCCTCACAAAGACCTGAATTTTTTTTTATTGCTAACCTACTTATTGATGGTAAGTCACATTACAGACCTTATTGGACAGTGAAGGGATCATGTGGAAGGCCGCTCAAGAAAGGGAGCTCAGGGACTATTTATACCACAGCATTGGAGGAGCTGAGATGAGGAGAGGGCCTCTGTGTGTTGGTGTGTGAGAACCACTTGGCAGGCTGATAAGTAAGCAGCAACCTAAAGGCTGAAGGGTCACTAGAGACAAGGGAACACTTACCCGACTGAAAACATAGACTCTGGAATATGGAGTTGATGAGAAATGCTACTGTCAAAGCAACGTCTAATCCTGGAGGAAGGTGCTAGGGCAGATGGTATCTGAGAAGAGCAGAGAAGAAGGAGGTCACATCCTGATCCATCCGACAGACAAAGGCACCCCCAAATGTTTTCCTAGGTCTGGGTACAGTGGGCGAGATCTGGCCTGGAGAATAAGAGGGTGGCCAGAGTGCAGATAATTGTACCAGGTCAGGAAATAACCAGGCCAGGCTATCTGTCCTCGTGTTGAATTTGCAAGTTCCAGCGGCATGTAGTTTGTAGAGCTCCAGCTGGGGCATTTTAGGCAGAATTTATAGTTACCTGTTATACATAATACATCAATACTCCATAGTGCTAAAATATCAAAATATTGCTGTATTGGTTGGTAACTAACTGCTGCCTGAGCGCCTCCCCAAGCATCTCATTTCTCTTCAGGATCCAGAGCTCAAGAGGTGAAGTTTCGGCCTCTGAGATGCTGCTCTGGCACTACAGCCTAGGATCTGTTTTGATTGGCTGGGACCTGTTATATAGATTGCTAAATATTTTTATTATCACACTTGGTTTGAGACGGTATACCGCAAAGCCCTGAACATTTCTGAGGGGGTAGCAAGAGTAGTGTAATGCTTCTGCAGTGGGGTTCAAAATGGAAGAGGTTCTAAGGGCCTGGAGTCATGTTCAAAGACTTCATTGACCTCTTGTCAGTCAGGAGAACTTTATTGATTACTTTTATTCAGGATTTGCGCACTACTCATGGGGAACACCTGTGGGGGTTCTCTTAACATCCAGACATACCTTTCATACCTCTAGCTCAGCCAAATAGTGATTGTCAGGCAACTCTAAACAGACTGTAACACATTCCAAATGAGTGGGATCCAAAATAGTGATATCAGTGCAAAGTAATAGAATAGATAGTGTCCAGGAAAATCAAGATAGCGGAAGGAATGTGGAGATGTTTGGACCTTTTAGAGTCATCAGAGAAAGCTTCTAGAGAAAAATCACAGGGATAATGAGATGCTACAGCTAAAACATAAGGTATCCCAGGCCTAAAAGAGGGAAGAAGCCGATGTCCCCTTCTTCCACGCATCAAGTCCGATCTCCTTGGTCGTCCACCCCAGCAGAGGTGTGGGGCGTAAATATCTTGCATTTCAAGAAGTCATAAGCATTGAGATGTGGTTACAGACATTTTCCTATTCTATCTTTAAATCAGTCAAAAATATAAACCTTTTAAGATGGAGAAACTAGCCCAAACATTTAACCCCATGGTTACCCTGACACTGAGTAGAGGGCAGCCATTGACATCTTAGTTGCACGCCTTACTCCTGAGAATGCAAAGAACTGGAGCTCTGCAAGGTGAGATGCCCATCTCTCCTCCTGACCTTTGAAACCAGTGCACCCAGGTCACAAGTACTGCCACTTACTCTGCTGTCCTGTGGCAGTTACATCCCCGTGCCTGCCATGTACAGAGTTGGAGTGTGCGTTGACATCTGTGTGTGTGAAGATAAATGGGGGCTTGTTTTGATGCAGGACGTGATACGGGAGCCCTCTTGGCATGCCGTCAGAAACCTCATGTTAAAGCGTACCACCGGCAGGATGCAGCCTGGCCCCTGGACTCACTCACTTGTGGGTCTGTTCAGGGTGTAATCTATTTTCAGTTTCCAGTTGTCTTTTTAATGTAGGAGCAGCAACTTCAACTGAAATAGTGCACTGACTCACAACCAGCAACTACTAAACAAATGGACAATTTTGAGGACAGATTTTTTTTTCCCCCTTAACGTTCTTATCTTCCTATGGTAATTCAAAATTTTGCTGTAAAATTTTGCACTTTAGGAGAGCAAAGAATCAAAAGACTACTATAAGCCTTAGGGAGCATAGAGAAAAAAGCGGAGATACTGTAGCTAACGTATTGGAGTAAATGCAGGAAATTTAACGCAGAAACTAGGAGAGTTTTGCAATATACTAAGTATAAAGCCTTCTGAACACAGTGCCAGGGTCCCTGAGTCATCACATAGGGATTGCTCTGAGCATATCAGGGAGACACCAGTCCCACTGCCTCAGTGGCAAGAGGACCCCCCAGAATTGCTCACAGGACCATCCTGACTGTACCATGCTGCTACCGCCACTAACTGGGGTTGGAAAGTGAGATGAACTTGATTGTCTTTCCTAAACCAGACACATAGTCAATTCCACCGTTTGTTTTTCAGACCAAGGCCTCTGGCATTTTTCACTTGCCTAATAATGTTATTCATCAAGCTTTTGCTGGAGTCGCTTAATGATCAATTCTATTTTGCCATGAAGATAGATTTGGCAGAGATTTTGGTCATCTTAATAATTCATTGCATGGGTGAAGGACTTGCAAATTGTTACCTGCCTCCTGACTGTGGACCCCCTGGGGAAAGGCTGGGCTGGGGCTTCAGTAGCCTTTCAGTATCACAGATCAGGCCCCAGTTAAGGGGAATACTCGTTAAGAAGTCTGATTGTTTTCCTTTTTTGCATAAGAGTCAGACTGCCTACTTCAAATCCTGGCTCTATCACTTTGTAGCTCTGTGACCTCTGATAAGCTATTGAACCTTAGTGATCCCTATATGCAAAGGGGATAATAGTAAGGTTATTACATGAAACACATTAGGTGCTATATATCAAGCACTTAGCACAATGCCTGTTTGTAGGAAAGGACCCAATAAATTTTAATTGCCTCTGTCACGAAGCACTCTCCCTATTTTTCAAAAGCTGTTTTAGCCAAATCAAATCTGTACAAAAAAGGCTATTGACCATGAAGTTTATACTTTCTTATTGCTACAAAATGTAAGATTCTAAAAATTTATATAAATTCATTTATATCTATTCACTTAACTTGGAGATGTTGGATACTTGGTCTTTCTTCAGAAATGTGTATGTGAGGATGGAAGGCCCATCACTCGAGTTAATACACGTCACCATTGATGGGTATTGGTTTATTCTTAATATCTGTTATATGCACGTGTGAAACTGGGCTGTGTAAAAAGCAGGATTTAGGCATTCCTGCCAAAAGGAAGTGAATTGAAAGGAAGAAAAGCAGAGCCTTTGCGAGGAAAAAATTGTCCTATCGCTCAGCCAGTGTCAGAATGTGGAAATGTTTACAAAATGCTCATTAAAAGAAAAAGGGATTGCGAGATAGCAACAAAATCTAGTGCACAAGTTTACACTAGAGAGATAAGAAAGGCTAGGCCCCTATAGGGGATTTTGTTATCCAATTACTGCAACCTGACTTTGGGGGGGAAGAGGAAGAATGGTCAGGGGAGGGAGAGAGAGGGGAAGGGTTTCCAAACTTGTCTCCAGTGACATGAGACATTTACGCTCCGCAAGATAAAACTGCCACTTAGAGCCCAGGAGAGCTAAACTTTCCTGGGTTGGCCTGGGGGCTTGAGCAGAGTCATGGGTTCTCTGGCCCTGCAGCTGTGCGCTCTCCTCTGCCTGGTGGCTCACTCTGTTTCTGGCAGCCCCATCATGAGCCTGGAGCATTCGCCTCTGGAAGAAGATATGTCCCTCTTCGATGATGTCTTCTCAGAGCAAGATGGTGTTGACTTTGACACACTTCTGCAGAGCATGAAGAATGAGTTTCTCAAGACATTGAACCTGTCTGACATCCCTATGCAGGATTCAGCCAAGGTTGACCCACCAGAGTACATGCTGGAACTCTACAACAAATTCGCCACGGACCGAACCTCTATGCCATCTGCCAATATCATTAGGAGTTTCAAGAATGAAGGTAAGTACCTTTTTCTGAAGAAATTTGGCTCGGAATTTTTTTTTTTAAGAAGTGATAAGTAAATGTAAAATGTATGGGAGTAATATAGGTAATAAGGGTAAATACAGCTATATGAGGGTGTGTGTAGACAGATACACAAAACAATGCACATTATGGTCTATATCATTTTTATGCTTATTTTCCAAATTGTATTAAAAGGTATTAAAGAATATCTTTTAATCCAAAGCCATGGAGCGTGTACCATTTTGACATTGTAACTGAGTCTTTAAATTTTTAAAATTTGGACAGCAAGTAATACAAACATTTTAATGTTGGTCCACTATTATATCTTTGTCATTTTTCAGTTTCCACTTGGCTTTTGATTGATGAAATTTGTCAGCTTTTACTTAAAATGAAAATAGACAAAAAAATTAGAAAGTTGTGATTTGTGTTTTGCTCAAACTTTGCATGAGTTTCCATTTTGTGACCTTTTTTAAGAAATGTTCAAACAGGATGGAAACTTGTATTTTAGAGATTCTTCCTAAAGTTTTGCTGCATTTGATATGACAAGTATATCCTTGAAGCACTGTTTATAGTTTCCAGGACGTATGCATGGCCCAGTTAATGCTCCAGCTTATTTCTGTGTGTTATGCAGAGTGATGCACAAGCTTTAAATATCAGTGGGAAAAGTATATTTTTTCCTCCCAGATCTTTATTCAGTAACTAAAAACAACAACAAAAAACCCATCTAATATCAATGGTAAAAGCTGTGGGTCCAGAAAAACGAATTCTTTACTATTTACCAATTATGCTTTTATAGTCATTAACCAGGTACAAAAAAAGGGTTTAGATCGATGTTGGCCAGATATTCTTAAGTGGAGAAAGGTGGTATCAAAGAAACAGCTCAGGGTTTGGAATTTTGAGAGCAGGTTGACTTAGCAGTTGTAAATAATTTCTCGTAACCTCAATTTCCTCATCTGTGAATTGGGGATAATATACCTGTAGAGCACAATTGAGCAATTTAAAAGAGGTTCTGAATAGGAAACATTCCATTTGCTATGAAAAAGTGACCAAACATTTGTTATTACTAATGAATTTCCTAAGTTCTAGGCATTAGAGAAAATGGTGAGTACGTATCGCTCAGTCCTGGAGATACCATTCACCTTATTTGGTTAACCATCAAAATTTCTAATATTTACTAACATATTGGATATGTTCTTTAGTAACATAATGGAAATGGCAAGCTGAAATTAGAGTCCTTTGGGGGAGCGTCTGAATAAGAAATGAACAGCCTCCTGGGGTGGGGGCGGGGAAGCCCTTCCTACCTAAGGCTACCTGAGCACTGAGCTGAGTCCTAGTGCCTGGCTCAGGGTGTAAGTGGGAAAATTCTTGCATTCCCCGGGGGGGGGGGGGGGGAAGGAGTTTTTCAGTTCCTACTTCTCTCGGGGAAGATTTGGATGCTCCAGGTCAGGAAGTGGGGTTTGCAGAGCTTCTCGTTACTGGAGATCAGCAAGGGCAGGCGCATCTGTGGACAACCCAGCCCCACCCCATCCACCCCCCACAGGTAGAAATGCTCAGCCTTCCTGGACACAATTCCTGCATGCTGGCTCCTATTGTCTCTCTTGGGTCTGCTCAGTGCAGCCTCCTAGGAGTCCAAGACCAACAAAACAAACCCGAAAGCCCTCCAAACCTAACTAATCAGGGGAAAGCACTTGCCACCTCCAAGGTGGAAGAAGCACGACTTCTATTCCTACCACTCTCTGACCTAACTGTCATCTGGGAGAAGTCAGTTTTCTGCATTAAGGTTCCATTTCTTCTGCTGTAAAACGAACAGAGTAGCAATACCTGCATTGTAGGGACATCGTACGAGCTGAATAAAACAACGTTTGCAGAGCACGTGGCACATGAAATTTGTTCAGAAATGCATCTCCTCTGTCTATTAGCGACTATATTTGAACATGCACAGTGAACTAATTTTTAACAGCTTTATTGAAGTATAATTGACATACGATAGATTGCACATCTTTATTGTGTATAATTTGATAGGTTTTGACATACGTGAACAGCCACTGAAACCATCACTAGAGTCAGGATTGTGAACATTCATCACCACCACAAGTTGCCTTGTGCTCCTTTGGTACGAAGGAACCGCTGAGCTATAGCCAGTCCGCCTTGTGCTCCTTTGTAATCCCTTCTTCCCACTATAGTGAGCTTTCACTCTGCACTTTTCTCATGGGTCAAGCAACCAGTCTACCCCCCTATTTTTGGTCTTCACATGAACCTTGTCCAAGGGGCGTCAAATCTCCTCCATTCTTCTAAGTGGGTAGGGACAACTCCCAAGCTACTTGATGTAATAAGGACATATGTTGTACCCATAAATCAATTTGGTCTGATGCCCAGAATCATCAACTAATCAATATGTTTAAAGCTGTGGCTTTGTTTAAGGCATCATGGCAGATTGAAGACATACAAGGAACTTTAAGCTGTGGTACCTGCCAGCATGATGACAGTCTAGTTGGGAACATTCATGAAAAGACAACTGAAATACAAGGTTGTAAATGGTAAAGGTCAAAGGAGAGATAGAGAGTATGCACTCAAGTGACTGAGAGGGGAGTGGACTTCCAGGGAGGTGAGGAAGGGAAGGTCCCCTAGGGAGGGGTCACAGCTAGGTAGATGGAGGTGAAGGAATAGGGCTTTCCAAGGATCAGAAGAACCTATCAAAAGGTCCAATATACAGTAAAGCAAAGAGGTATTTTGGCAAGTGGTGAAGATATCAGTCTACTTTAAACAGGGGGGCTTACAATGTATTTAATCTTTCAACAAATACCAGTTGAGCAATTGCAATGTTCCATGCACTGAGGATGATGAATAAGATTAATGACTGGATCAAGAGGTTAAGACCTGGTTATAGTTGGTTTTGAGAGCCATGCTAGAAAGTTTTAACTCATTCCATTGACCAATATAATGCATACTCAAAATCAACTGCTGTGACCCCCTTGGCTTATGGCTATCTTCTTGACCTTGTCTGGCTTTGGTGTCTGGAGCAAGGGTCAGCAAACTTTTTCTGTAAAGAACCAGACAGATAGTACATATTCTAGGTTTTATGGGCCATATGTTCTTTGTTGTGACTATTTAACTCTGCCATCGTAGAACAACAGTCATCACAGACAATACAGAAAAAAATGGGTGAGGCTATGTCCCAATAATGCTTTATTTCCAAAAACTGGTGGCCCATGGGCTATGGTTTAGCATCCCCTCATCTAGATAGAGGTTTTCAGAAAGACCAGTGCCCAGCCAACTATGTTGGGAATCTCTACCCAGTACACATGGAAATATGACAAAGCCATGAAGGCCTCATCCTTGAAAAGCTTTAAGAAAGGAACAACCACCACACATTTCACTTGCTAGTTCTTCACTGGTTAGAATTGAGGTCTTGCCCACACAGTCTCCAAGGTCCCGCCCAGTTCTATAATTCTGTGGCTGATAGGCTATGCAAGCAAGGCTGGGTGAATTTTCTGCTATTCATTATTAGGCTGCCATTCTCCATTTTAGTCTTGGCAGTATAACTCAGTTTAGCATTCTACCATTGACCTTTCAGTATTTTTAAAGAATGCTATCATTTTGTTTGTTTTCATTGATATCCCCTCATTCTCTCTGTCTCAAGCTTTCTTCATGGACAGGTCCTCTTATGACATAAATAAGCATCTGCTTTTCTCTATGACATACTGCAAATCTGATTTTTGTCTTTTGGATTTCCAGATCTGTTTTCCCAACCAGCCAGTTTCCATGGGCTACGAAAATACCCTCTCCTCTTCAATGTGTCCATCCCTCACCATGAAGAGGTCATCATGGCTGAACTCAGGTTGTACACACTGGTGCAAAGAGATCGCATGATGTATGAAGGAGTGGACCGAAAAATTACCATTTTTGAAGTACTAGAGGACAATGGGGACAATGAGGGTGAAAGAAACATGCTGGTCTTGGTGTCAGAGGAGATCTACGGAACCAACAGTGAGTGGGAGACTTTTGATGTCACCAATGCCATCAGACGTTGGCAAAAGTCAGGTTCATCCACCCACCAGCTGGAAGTCCACATTGAGAGCAGACGCGACAAAACCGAGGACACTGGCAGGGGACAACTGGAAATAGACACCAGTGCCCAGAATAAGCATGACCCTCTGCTTGTTGTGTTTTCTGATGACCAAAGCAGTGAGAAGGAACGGAAGGAGGAACTGAATGAAATGATCACCCATGAGCAACTTCTGGAGCTGGACAACCTGGGCCTGGGCGGTTATTCCAACGGACCTGGGGAAGAGGCTTTGCTGCAAATGAGGTCAAACGTCATCTATGATTCCACTGCCCGCATCAGAAGGAATGCCAAAGGAAATTACTGCAAGAAGACCCCACTCTACATCGATTTCAAGGAGATTGGCTGGGACTCTTGGATCATCGCCCCACCTGGATATGAAGCCTATGAATGCCGTGGTGTTTGCAACTACCCCCTGGCAGAGCATCTCACACCCACAAAACATGCAATTATCCAGGCCTTGGTCCACCTCAAGAATTCCCAGAAGGCTTCCAAAGCTTGCTGCGTCCCCACCAAGCTAGAGCCCATCTCCATCCTCTATTTAGACAAAGGTGTTGTCACCTACAAGTTTAAATACGAAGGCATGGCTGTCTCTGAGTGTGGCTGTAGATAGAAAAGGAGTCGCGTAGCTTATTTAATAACTGTAAATGTGTATATTTTGTGTTCTTATTTAATAAGATTATTTAATAAGGGTGTACAGATCATAGAAGTCGCTACCTTTGGGAAATGGATAGGTCAGTTTGGTGAAGGAAATGCATATTTTGCTATACAGTCTCACCCCTTCCAATCTGTTTTTCTTTGGACTTGTCATTTCCTGACAATGCCATCTCTAACAGCAAGTGGCAAGCCCATACTACTTGTCATCTATGTCAACTTGAAAACAACAACCCCTAAGCAGAAATACTGTGTAGAAAGATAAGATATTTGTGTATGTATATGTGTACATAGATAAACTTATAAAACTCTTTTCGTTCCATAGAAATAGATTAGGCTCACTCATATGTATGACTCAATCAAATGTGTATTAAACGCCACTGGTATGTTCTCAGTCACCTCTTCTCTGAGTAGGGTTGTCAAACTGTCAAGATCATTTGCACCAGGAATTTCATCCTAGGAAGTAGTACATTTCCTAAATACTATTAGGAATGTAGGTGTGGCTTTTGTCAGTTGAGTTTCTGATGTTGCTCAGAGCAGCAGGGCCTGGTAAAGGATCCTGCATGTTTGAGGAGACTGGTTATTGATACAAACCAAATAGCTTAGAGAAGCAATGGTCTTAAGGTACAATAGCAAAGAATGAACCCATTGGGCAACAGTGTGCTCTAGAGGGGAGTGCCTGGTCAAGAAAGGGAAACAGGGAGGACTTCAGGGTGACATCCTTTCCTGAGGGAAAAGGAAAGCAAGACCATGCATGTTGACCTTTATTGCTGCAGGGGGTTCAGGAGGTAAGAGGCGGCTCATAGGGGAGGAGAGGAAAAGGACTTAAATACTATCCTAAGATGTGTTTGTAGAATTATAAGCAGTTCTAATTGGAGAATGAAATCTTTCGGACAAAATAAAATTATCAAAGACCAAAAGGAGGACAATCGGGTGGGATCTGTCTGTTGGATCTTCGCTTCTTAATATTTTTCACCAATTCTTAATATTTCTCCCTTGCCTCTGCACCGCCCCTCTTGCTTTTCCCACCTTTTCTCTCCCCTCTTTCCTCTTTATCCCAGCGCCTCATGTCTTTCTCCCATTTCTGTGTCTCTTGTCTTCATTGGCCTTCATTGCTCCTCCTGTGAGCTGGAAGGGGATACCTGACAGCATCTCTTTCTAGATAAATGGAGTTGGTGCTCTCATTTCCAGATTTTGCCCTGATATTTAATTTGATTTTCTCTTAATAATACCCTTTAAGAAAAGTTTTGTTCATGAAGAATACTTAAGGAAAAGGAAATGAGAGTTCTAATGGGTCCATCTAAACAAATGAATAAATAAACACACAAGCAAATGACTTGAAAGCTAAGCCTGCAGTTTGAAACCAGCTTTGCCCCATGGTAGAAAGCCTGTAGCCTTCCCATTCTTCCCTTTCTGCAGTCTTCCTGTTTTGGAACTGGCCAGAACTAAGAGCCTGGGAAGTGTTCCTGATAGGAACGCCTGGTAGGTCTCCAGTAGTTGGTCAGTTAGTTGGAAGGACACTGAGACTCTGGTGTGGTCTTAGCTGTGCCCCTCCTCTGCCCCCTCCCCCATCCCCTGCCTGCAAGATCATGGGCTTTCTGCAGGAAGAACCAGAGCTGAGCATTTCTCACACTGTTCTGACACCTCCAGGCAGATGACACAGATGGTTCACACTATAATCAGGAATGTGATTTCCAGTACATTGTCCCCCACTCACCCCGTTGGATGCTTCCTTAAGAATTCTGGCTTTTTTTTTTTTTTCACCCTGGGAAACCATCGGCATCCCTTTCAAAAAACTCTTGGGGTTATAAACTCATATTGTACTAGTAAATAGAGCCAAGGAAGCTATTTTGAAGGACATTTTGCCCAATTTGGACCTCACCTCTGTACACTCGGGTACACAGATTCTGAGAGCAAACAGAGGGCAGATGCTGGGGAATTCATTGCCCCAAAAAAGTGATATTCTGATCATCAGAGAGTATATAATGAGAGACAATTTGAGATGGCCATGCAACTCAGAATCATTCATTTATGGAGTAGCCTCCATATGTAATGGTGTGTGTGTGTGTGTGTGTGTGTGTGTGTGTGTGTGTGTGTGTAAGTGGCTTCGGATAGTCACACTTAGAGCCCTCAGTGGGATTGGTACACCCTCTACAGCCATGGTGCACTGTATACTCATATATTCTACGGTACATCTTATAAAGGACACTGTAATAGACATACATTAAAACCTCTGCTGAGCAAGATAGTGTTGGTTAGATAAAAACCAAGCAAAATTTTCTTTATATCTAAAAATATATGGTGTGCTAGTAAGTGCTTCACAGCCAGCAATCCTGGGAGAAATACGCCCTGATTTGTGGATCTCAGTGGTGTAAATACTCCCACCGTGGCCTATGTCAAGCTACCAATGTGATGTCAACTGGCTTGCAAAGTTCCTGAATACTAACGGTCAGCTCTCGGGAGCTATTCTTGCACGCGCTGGCACCCTGCTGCTATTAACATCTTGCTGTTAGAACATAAGACATACAGGCCCTGTTTTCCTCACACCCTCTGCTGACTTTGCCAGGTTCCTGGAGAAACCTTGTCTTGGGTGCGCTTATAATCACCCTTCTGTTAAAGAGGTGAAAATCTAGGCTGCCCACAATTAGGCTGCATATCACAGATTCGTCTCCTTTTACCACAGTCCAGATGTAAACATGCATGTCTATGATTTCTTCCTCCCTACTAAAGAGGGTCCACATACATATTGGTTATTCAAATATTGCTAGTGGCATTTTTTTTTGCTTTCTTTTCATCAAAAAATGAAAAGACAAACCATAAAGAGTCCTTCCAGCTCCCATCAGGCCTCTTGCAGCATGCCTGAAGTTCTCCAACATCGCTGTATTAATGTGAAGCCACGAAATTGTCAGATCCTTGCGAAAGTAGAGCTCACTAATATCTTCTCTAGTCACAGGCCTTGGCTACATCTCACGCCAGTCTCCTTCATACGTTTATGGCTGAATTATCATCACTGAAGTTCATAAATCCAAATGACTCTCAAGGAGAATGGTAGCAGAGGGATTTGGGCCACCAATAACCAAACTATTCATGTAAAAACTTCTAGGTGTCCTGCTATTTATTGATGGATATATTTATTTTTGTAATATAGTGTAGAATACCAAATATTTTATTTTTATGTTTGTGATTCCCTCTTGAATATAATAGTCTTCTGTGCTTTTCAAATAATACCTTCCTTGGAGTATGGCTCCTTTACAACACATGGCCTGTATTCTCACTCTCTTTGCATCAGAATTTCCTGTTATTTTTAGGGAGCCTTGCCATGAGCTTACGATCACCTTGTATATTTGTGTCTTGTAAGTATGCTGTGAGCTCCTTGCCATATTTACTGATTTGTAAATAGGACAGTTTTAACTGAATAGTAGGTATTCCAGAAAATATTTAACCAATAATTCATCATGTGGGTTTCATGAGTTGACACTGTCATTTTTCCATTAGAAGCAAATGTTTGTCAAGCTGTGAGGGGCTGTGATTGCTGTTCAGCATTTAATTGGGGCTTTTCATTCCCAAACTAGCTGCTGTCCCTCTGACTGTATCCATTGCCTTTACTGACTCACCAATTCAGAGACTTGATTGGACAACCCATTTGTAATTGGGCCAATGACTCTCTAAATGTAAAAAAGTGTTCATATAGTCATTCCCAAAAAAGTCCATGTCAAAGTACCCAATTTTTCCTCTGTGTATAATTTTTGACCTGGGACATTAATGGTAATTACTTTTCCCAGAACTGTCAATAATTGTTTGGGTATGCTTTTGAATCTGTATTCTTTAAGTAAAAGGTATTTCCATAGAAAGGGATTTCACATATTACTTCTTACTGGACTCATCAACAGCCCACACAGCCCAGCAGTGTTGTGGCAAAATCATGTACAAATTCTTCTATAACACAGAAGGGACATTGCCCTTGTTAAGGATTATGGATCTTTTCAAAGAGACACCATGGGTTGTATTCGGCCTCTGTCATCTGGTGAAAAAGGAATACTACTGTGATTTCTTGTCCCCTGAAAAACACGATTGATTTCACACATTAGACAGTAGGTAACACTGTTCCATAGCCACTGGTATGGGTGTGGAAGTATATCCGTAAGTGTATAACCTCATCAGGGAATGCTTGTTTGTTATGATCAGCATGCTTCCGTCACACACGAGCTCTTGTTCTGTGAGTGTCTGGCCCGATTGCAGTGAGAACATGGACATGCTCGTGCCAACCTAACCAACTTCCACAAACACAGAAAATCAGCTAATACCATAGTCACATCAATCAGTTGAAGCACATTCATTTTCGTGTTCATTACCTATGTCCAAATTTATGTAGGAATCACCAGACTAAAAGGAAGATGGGAATGAATGTTTTACACTGTGTTCATAAGTCAAATGTGTACATTCAGAGTTATCTTGTGAAATAAAATGGAAAAATTATTTTGATGATAATTACGTGCAACTTATTTTTCCTTGAGATGAAATCTTTTTTGCTCTCTTCCTTTGCATTTTTTCTTGTTTCCATTTCACAGTATATACAGATGGAGTCAACCTTCCTGCTATATTAGTAGAACGTGGCCTGAAGAAACAATAAGCTGATTTTCGCCTCTAAGTGGTCTCACCAGAGAGTGAGAGGCTGTTGTTTTATGGGTCTCCCATTTCATACAACTTTCTGTAAATCCCATGGATACCAGAGACACGCAACAAAAATGAAATTGGTTCTTCTTTCTCAGTAACTGAGAAATATTTCTTCTTTGAGTTTAGAATGAGGCAGTTAAAGAACAAGTACTTTGGAAAAAATATTCAGGCTAAATTTCACTGAAATTTGATTATTGAACCTCATAGAATCTCAGACTTAGAAGGGGCTTTTAAAGGTTATATGGCAGGCCCCCATCCCTTCAGCAGCCCACCAAAACACTTCTCATTTCTTGCAAATATTAGTAAAGAGAAGGGAGTACACTACCTTCTTAAGGGCATCTATTACATTTTTAGAGGTATCTGCCTCGATCGTACTCAGTTTAATTAATAGTTTAGCTCATTATGCTCAAAAGTCACTGCAGGAGAGACAATAGTAGGCAGAAAGTTGTTAGACAGTTTTTCCTTATATAGAACGGACATCTCTCTTTGTGTCCCTCATAACTTCCTGGTTCATGACTCTTGAGGCTGCACATACACATCGAATCCATCTTCATGATAGCGCCTCAGTTTGCAAACAGCTCTCCTGTCCTTCTGGATCCCTGTTGGTCACTTCCTGCCATGGTGTGTGTCTGAACACGTGGCCAGACACAGGGAGCTCGGTCAGCCAGATGAAAATACACGGAAAGCCTGCACTGAATGTAGACCCGCCCCTCACTGGGTAACAGGCCTGGTGGACAACAGACAGACCCTGCTGCTTGCTCTGGAAGGAAGTTCATTCTTATGGCAGAATGTAGGAATGGAAGGGTATAAATACAGTCCCAGGTGGACTCAAATTCCTTCCATCCGACAGTCACCCTGTACCTCTTTTGGGGGAATCCTCTGATGTCCTGGATGACAAGCTATATCTGGGAAGTGCGTCAGCAAGGAGCACAGCCCTTGTCCCTCGTTATCAGAACAACTGATAAGAGCAAGACAAGTATTCTAGTCATGGAGGAAAGGGAGCTGAGAACCCAAGTTGAGGCTTAGGCCAAGGCTGAACTACAAAGGCCTGAAAAGCCATTCTTAGCTCAAAGTTGAATTCTTTTGCAATGCATTCATTCTCTTCTGTAAATAATTCCATTTATGGATGTCTCTCAGAGCATGGTGCTTGGACTCATTCTCTGCATGTGCTCTGACCTGAACATGGCAGCACGGAACCAGCCACAGTTGTTCTAGGAGTTTCCAGTCTACTGATATCACCTGGGATTGCATTGGGCAGACACAGCTGCCATTTATTTGGTGGGGCGGGGAAGGAAAAAAATTATTTTCAAAGCTCAAATTATACATGGACTAATATGTCACAGTTTCTGCTAGTGCTCCTAACATGAGCTGATGTTTGTGGTGCTGCAGGAAAATACTGCCATGAGATGGCTGCATGTGACTGCAGTCACATGGATGAGAGCCCACTTTTGTGCAGAAGTCACTATTTGTAAATGAGGGTCCTATTTGGAGAAGGTGAGAGCGTGTTAACTTGGGTGGTTATAAATGGATTATATGATTATCTCCAACTCACTCTCCCGAACTGTCAGTTTACAGAAACCAGTCCCTGCTCTCTCTTAACCTTCCTCAGGCTATTCACACAGATCCAAAGTACTCATCTTGTCCTGAGAAGAAAGCCCAGAAACACACAGACAGTCCAATTCATTTTTACTCTTAAATGTGATTCTGAAAATCTTATAAAAAATTTAGACCACTCAGTTCAAATTGAGTTTTTTTGGGGTGTGGGAGGCATGAAACACCATTGTCAAATTAGGCTTCAGCAGAAAAATTTCACTCACAGTACACAGCCAACTTTTTTGCACAGCATGGGAATGGTGTTAGAAAATTCAGTTGTAACCCCTTATTAGTATTCCTGCCTAAAATGCATAACAGATCCTGGCCAATTATGAGGAAATACCACTTGAAGAACATTCTACAAAATAACCAGACTGCACTCTTTAAAAACATCAATGAAAGGCAAAGAAAGACTGAGGAACTGTTATAGATTAAAAAAGACTAAAGAGACATGACAACAAAATGCAGTATGTGACCCTGGCTTGGATCCCAGATCCTCCCAAAATGGGCAAAAAGAACACTATGTTTTTGTTAAGTTCACTGCGGCTCAGCTGCTAGTGTCTAACTCTATCTAAATTGTACACTCTCAACTGACATTCATTTTTAAAAATCTCCTGCATAGTTACTGCTCTTTTTCAGAAGCTGTGAGAAGTTGCATGGGAGGAGTAACTGGGCTTTTGACCAATGCAATGTCTAAGAAGCAAGCAGGCGGCATTAAAAGTAAGACCTTTGCCCCGTCGGCAAACTCAATGGAAGAAACAGAAATGAGGGGAAACTGCTCAGCAGTGTGGCAAACCTAATGTCAATACATGAACTGCAGCAAAACATGTTCCTGAAATAACCACGCTCAACACTACATTCCCTGAAAAGAAGCATGCTTTTCAGGCAATAAACCATCTGTTTCAAGTGTTTAGAAAACAGATCTCCAATCGCTGGTAATTTAAACTTCCTTATACCCCAGTTCAATGTTTGATAAGGAAAGAGTGCTAACAGGATGGGAACTGAGTTACTATATTAAGAAAGCCAGCCAGAACAAAAACCAGCCCCCTGCAGTTATTTTGTTTATGCTCCAGACTCATCTGTTTTAATTAACATAATATTTACATGAGACCAGCTCCTGTTACATCTTTTGCTGCAACGGTCACATGTTTTGGTCTCTGTTTTTGTTTTTGCTTTTTAAAAAGTTCCTGCAAAAGCACAATTGAGAATAAGCCTGAATGAAGCATACACAGTGAAATCACGCCATAGCATCATGGCTCCAAGGGCCAAGCCCACCTGTTTTGGGCAGTTTGGGGTCAGGTATCAGTTGCCAGATAAAACGCAGGCTGTCCAGTTAAATTTGAATCTAAGGTAAACAATGAATAATTTGTTTAGTATAAGTAGGTCTCAAATATTGCACGGGACATACTTATGCTAAAAACAAATTTATTGTTTATCTGAAATCCAAATTTAATTGGGTGTCCTGTGTTTCTAGTTTCTAAATCTGGCAGTGTTCATCAGATATGGCTCAGAAGGTTATATGAATGGAAAGAGCCAGAGAAAAATGAAGTAGTATTCCCCTCCATTCCCAAATGAGCTATTCAGAGGATTATAAATCAAGCTTAGCAGAGTTCATTGTTGAAGAACCGCTTTGAGATTTGAGGTTGAAATCCACTTGACCATAAGACCTGCTGATACTAAAACAGTAGCCATATGTGACAATCATCCTTCCCATTTCTCTGGACATCTTACCTTCAAAATTTCTCTATTTTGTGTTGACTGTGCCTAGTTTAGATTTTGCTATATTCATAAAAGTGAAATTTTGGGAGAAAAGGGTATGTACACTTAGAATATATCATTCTGAGAGATAACTAGCAAGTTTTTCTCTAATTTGTATGCCAAAATTACACTTCATCACCTGCATACAGGGGTGCTGGTTTCACACAGTTTCTAATATGTAGCACTATTGCTTTTCTTAGTGACGGCTACTATGCTTGAATAGTGTCCTCTAAAAAAGATATGTTGAAACCTTAACCCCCAGCACCTCAGAGTGTGACCTTATTTGGAAATAGGGTCTTCAAAGAGGTAATCAGGTTAAAATGAGGTCATTAGGGTGGGCCCTAACCCAGGTTGACTGGTGTCCTTATTAAAAGGGCAAATTTGGACACAGAGACAGACATGAACACAGGGAGAACACCATGTGAAAATGAAGGTAGACATCAGGGTGATGCATCTCCAAACCAAGGAAAGCCAAGATTGTCAGCACAACACCAGAATCTAGGGGAGAGGCCTGGAATAGGCTCTCCCTCACAGCCCTCAGAGGAACCAACGCAGCTGACACATTGATCTCAGACTTCTAGCTTCCAGAACTGTGAGTCAATCTATTTCTATTGTTCAAGCCACCCAGTTTGTGGTACTTTGTTACAGCAGCCCTAGGAAATGAATACAAATGCTAAGTACAATAAATTTAATTAAATAAATTTAAATTTATTTCGTTAATAATTGGTGAGCTTAAATATATGTTTATATATTTCTTGACTAATTCTCTTTATTCCATCAAGACTTTTCTTGTCTTTTACTTGTTGTTTATGTTCTTCTAACTGATTTGTTGCAATTTTATATATTATGGGCAGTTAATTCTTTGTTATATGCTATCAATAGTTTTCTCTTGTTGCTCACCATTCAACTTTTAAAAAAATATGGTATTTTGCTGTTCAAAAGTTTTACATTTTTATTTAGCCAAATCTGTCAGCCTTTTCCTTATGGCTTCTTGGTTTTGTGTGTCACGTAGAAATTGTTTCTCTATCTCAAAATTATTCAAATGTTTTTTTGGCAATGTTTGGCTTGGCTTAATCAAAAACTCTAAGGAGAAGAGATGGAGAGAATAGGAATAATTTTTTTCCTGACTAGGACCATAATAAGCCAATTTTATACTGGGCTTGGAAAAAGTTTAAAGCTTCACTTTCTTTTGTAAGTTTTTCAAAAACCTCCAATGTTGCAATTGCCTCTCAATCTGTAGTTCCTGTGACATGAGAGCCTGTTGCTTACTCTTTCTGTGCTGTCCAAAGAACAAGGGGTCCACCCAGGTTTTTTGGCACTAATGGCCCTTCATGTCTTTAGGCATCTTAATGGATGGTGTTCCTGTTATCTATCACTGTGTAACAAACCATACCCAAACAGTTCTTAGAACAAAAACAAAATGGTGGCTGTGGCTTCCTTTTCTTGAA